TTTGGATGCAGCCTCACTCATTGCCTGATGGTGCGTCTGAAAGGTGAGCGTCTGAAATGAAATTCGACAATGTCTTGCATGAAATTACCTTCATGATGTCCTTATCAACACAAGTGGGGAAAAAAGGAGATTTAAAAAAGCTTTATTATTTTATATAACTCAAGCCCTTATGATGATTGTTTGTGGCACTTAAATTATGTGTGGTCAAAAATAACTAAAACACATCCAATTACGAAAATAAAAGTCGAATCAATTATTTGCTCCAAATAACATATTCTGAACAAGGTTGGAAGGAATAGCTGTTTTTCCAGAAAAAAATGAAGTTTTGATGTCGTCTGATGCAAAGTTTATTCAAAATTGGCGTGTTCAACTAATTTGTTTGCTCCAACTTTTGGCAACCTCGCTTTGTTAAACATAAATAGCAATACGTTACAATAGAAAAAATCAAAAGCGGAGCAATAAATTTTTCCATAAAGTTGTTTACAGGTCAACGCTAATATGAGACAAAATTAATGTCTGAACGTTGCCTGAATTTAAAAAAAGCCTGTCATTTTTGATTAACATTGTTGGAGTAGTCTTTTTAATAAATTATTTTGTACCAGACGGTTGAAAATTTTTTCATACAAAGTGCAGCAAAATTTGATACACAAAAAAAACATAAAAGAGCTAATAAAAGAGTAAAACTGCATGTGATGTTACTTAAAAAAGAAAGATTGCTCTTTTCAATTTATCAATCCAATTTAACCTACTATTTTGCCATTTTTTTTGGTTGGAAAGGTTCATAAATTTTTCTGAGTATAGTTACTTCTAAGTTTTGCCCTTTTTGGTGATTTGAGTAGTTTAATTGGTCTTAAACGATGAGATCAAAAATTATTCTTGTTAATGAGTTTTTAGACATGGTTTCATTATGTATGAAAAAGTGTTGAACTGAATACCGACATCAAAATAAGCAGTTTAGTTAACTAGAGGCCCAGCTAAAGCTGGAGGTACCGGTTTAATTTTTTTGATTTTGTTGTTCTGATCCGGGATGAAATAGGTAATTTCAAAAATTTTTAAAAATGGGCTTCTTTCAAAAAATAATTATTGCTCAATTAAAATAGCAGTAAATTTCTTGTAATTTTTTTCCCAGAGACACAAATTTGTTGATTAAGATTTTAGCGCGTAGTATTTTATGCAAGGAGGCTCCCCACAACCTGTTGCTTCGATTAAAATTCGATATCACTTTGAGCTGTTTTCTGGAGGAGTCAAAAAGTTTCCAAAAATCGAACAGGAAATAAGAACATTGACGTTTCCGAGGGTCATATTTTTATGTTTGGAAAATATTGGGCCCAATTGTTTATTTAAAGGGCTTCTTGAATCCCGTTCTTTTTCTTGAAACCAAACTCTCATATTTGGTACGGTAGTTTTTGGGAAAAAGACAAAAAGTTTCAAAAAGCAGTAGAAAACCGAAAGTTTGACTTTTCTGGTGGCCATAACCCTCGGTTTGGAAAAATGAACGTAGCCACTAATGCAAAGGAGCTTGCCTCAACTCGGCTTTTTGATTGAAACCAAAAAACCAGATTGGGGTGGGTAGCTTTCGAGAAAATGAAAAAAGTTTCAAAGAACGGTAAAAAAGTACAAAGATTGTTTTTTTTTTTCAGAGGGCCAGTTTTTTTTTGTGTCAAGAAATTTAAGCAAACCGCTAATACAAGGAAATTTTTTTTTCGTACATTTCCTTACTGAGCGGAAAATCACATTTTTGAAGGGGTAGTTTTTGAGAAAAGTCAAAAAGCTTCAAAAAAAATGGTCAAAAATCAAAAATTTGACTTTCCTGCCGTCACAAATTCTTCTGTAAAATATTTTTTAGGTGTAACTTCAAATGCAGGGGAGTTTTCCACAACCCGGTTTACCCATTGATCTAAAATCTCAGATTTGCAATAAGATTGCTTGAGAAAACTCGAAACAGTTTTAAAAAATGGTCAAAAAGTCGAAATTTTGACTTCTCCGAGGGTCATAACTTTCTGTGTATTAAAAATTGGGCATAGCTGCTTAGCAAGAGAGCTTTTCACCGCCCCTTTTTTTCATTAAAATCAATGATTGTGATTCGGGAGGGTAGTTTTCGAGAAAATTGAAAAAGTTTCAAAAAACGGTCAAAAATCGGAAGTTTTTTTTGAGTAAAAAAATTGGTCGAAGCTGCCTATGCAAAGAAATTTTCCACAGCCCATTCTACTCCTTGAGCCCAAAATCTTTGATGGGGTAGCGTTTGAGAAATGTCAAAAAGTTCGAAAAACGGTCAAAAAATTGAAATTTTGTCTTTTCCGAGGGTCATGACTTTTTGTGTCCAAAAATTTGGGCATAGCCGCCTGTGTAGGGAACTTTTTACAACCTGTTCTATCCATTGAACCCAAAGTCGCAGATTAGGGAGGGTTGTTTTTAAGAAAAATCTAAATTTTCAAAAAACGGTCAAAAAGTATAAATTTTGGCTTTTCCGACGGTCATAACTTATTGTGAAAGAAATTTTGGGCATACCTGCTTGCGTAGGGTAATCTTAGATTTTGGAGAGTAGTATTCGAGAGAAGGTGAAAAATCCATAAAGATGGGTAGAAAACACTTTTTCGAAGGCTGATGAAAGTAGGGAAGCGTTAAAAGATACTTTTCGAGTTCTGATGAAACGAATTCTGCAGGCAACCAGGGTTGTAGATGGCTTTCCTATTGGTACCATTTTTTTCCATAGGGTCTCAAAAAAAGATGTAATAAAAACAGGATCCCAAATATTTTTCACAATACCTGTTTTTATCAAACAGGAGCTTAAGCCACAAATTTGGTCTCATTTCAAGATACAGTGCTGATTTAAATTATCCGGACGAAACGAACAAAACTTGAATTTTCAAACGCGTTTTTCTCAAATTGGGTTAAGATTAGACAAAAAGTGAAGAAGACAAAAGTTGCTTAGAATTTCACCAGAATTAATATGGTGCCATTTTTTCTCCGAAATTCTCAACAAAAATGTTACCCCAAAAATGGGTCATTTTGGATTTTTTTCAATTAATCAAGAATTACGCTGAAACTACTTTGTAAATTGATATGAAAATTATATCACAGGAAGCCTCTTACGCCGTTCAACAAAGTTTAAGAAGAGTTAATTTGCCAAAAATTTGCGCAAATTGTTCAAAACTTATTTTTAAACAGAGATTCTGGGTTTTATATAGTAAAAATCACATTTATTGACTATCAAGTGAAAATTTTTTTTCATTTATACTGGTTTTTGGAGATTTAACCCTTCTTAAACTTTGTTGAACTGCGTAAGAGGCTTCCTGTGATATAATTTTCATATCAATTAACAAAGTAGTTTCAGCGTAATTCTTGATTAATTGAAAAAAGCCAAAATGACCCATTTTTGGGGTAACATTTTTGTTGAGAATTTCGGAGAAAAAATGGCACCATACTAATTCTGGTGAAATTCTAAGCAATTTTTGTCTTCTTCACTTTTTGTCTAATCTTAACCCAATTTGAGAAAAACGCGTTTGAAAGTTCAAGTTTTGTTCGTTTCGTCCGGATAATTTAAATCAGCACTGTATTGCTACAAGTTTTGACTAAAATATATCTATTGCTCTTTTTATGGCAATTAACAATTTTATCGAACAACGTCTTAACTATCTGAATACTATTTAGTGGCAAAAAGTTGGAACAGACAAAAATTATTAAAAAGAGCAATCTGCCAAATTTGAGTGATTTTTGCATGCAAATTTGAGTTTTTAGTTGACCTTGAGTCATATGTTTTGTTTAAAAAGCTAGCTTTTGCATGCAAACGTTTCCTGAAATAGGTCATTTGCTCTTTTTAATTAATTCTGTCTGTTCCAACTTTATACAACGAACGCTCTATAATTCTGACCCTGAGACAGTGAAATAGAGTTGAATTTATAATTAATGCCAAATTGTTGTCAATATCCTCTTCGGTCAACGAATCTGAACGAAGTTATTTCACCTAAAACTGCTCATTTCGGTGAGGGGTTTTAGCGTCTCACTGATTTTCACGCGTAAAAACCATTTTCATATAAATCCAATTACCGTATAAGCTGTAGTTTTTGACCGATTGAATTATTCAAGGTCACCAATATTGCCAACAAATTGGCCTTAACTATAAGTAATTTTGTCTATCTGAACATTTTGCATCTCTCAATACACTTCGTTTCAGTCTCAAAAATCCAGTGTTTCGTACGCCTTGATTTTGATTATGCCGAAAGACTTGACATATAACTTCCCAACGTTTTTACTGTGTAATTGCGATGGCTAACTCCTTTGTTTTTAATTTGAATTCTGTTGTTTTATTTTTTTCTTTTACCTCCTTGCTGACACAACTCTCTTTCGAATCTTGTGAGTCAGTTTGGTCGGATTGGAGACCCGAGAAGTGTTCAGGTCTTTGCAGTGTTAAGCCAATGCAAATACGTTTCCGACTTTGCAATTATTCAAACTCGACTTTTCCGGGTCAGGAACACTTATTACTCTCTGGTTTCAACAATTCCATGCCCGAAAACATTTTTTCGGAGAATTCTCCTAGCAAATTTGGTTTCGAAAAACGAAGCCAGAATGAACTTTTCAATGAAACTGAAGTTAGAGTATGTAGAAACAAAGACAGCTCGTTTTGCTTCAAGGAAAAGAGTTTTGACAGACAATGTGGAACGCGCAAAATTCCTACAAACATGGCTTTACATGTACAGAATAATCCTTTCAAAAATTTGAGTTCGAAAAACACTCAGCTTGAGATAAATTCGGAAACTGGATCGAGCTTACACCAGAAGCGAATAATTTTGGGTAATTCTGCAGAGAAACATTCTTGGCCCTGGTTTGCCGCCTTGATTTACTTCAGGGCTCTTTTTCTTTTTTCACTCTTTCCCAATAGTTTTTTTTGAATAAATTGTTAGTTTGCAACTTCAAATGACAAAAAAGCTGTTCACATTCAGAGGGAAAATTTGGCCACTTTTTTGCAGCCACGTTTTTGAAGCGGGGTTCTTTTTTTATTGATGGCGACTTTCAAGAAGTAATTTCTAAATTGACACGGAAGGAGGGTATCAATAAAAAAGCACCCCTGCTCCTCACTCATAGTTATCTTATCGTTCATAGTTATCATGAGCAAAAAAAATTAATTATCATGAGCAAAAAAAATTATATATACATTTCATTGAGTTCAGTCAGTGGAAAAATAAAATGAGCCCAATTTTAGAAGCTACGTCTGCGGATCTACTCTTATCCATTCTAATTGGGTTATAACCAGTGCGCATTGCGTCAGGGGCAGATTAATCCTAGAAAACTGGCAGATTTCATTCGGTGACCACATTAGACATCCTAAGTTTGACTCTGTGCAAGGGAAAAGTGAAATCACTCGGAAAATAACCAAGATAAAAATCCACGAAGACTTCTTCATGAAAGCAAATCACTCGCCTCGAATGGATATTGCATTGATTAAACTAGACTCGCCGGTGGATTTCACACACAGTGTTAACCGAGCCTGTTTGCCGAGTGGTGAAGAGTCTTCAACTAAATTTTGTTTTGCGATTGGATTCGGAATGACGAACTGGGACGCGAAAGAGTATCCGAGGAGTCTGATGGAAGCGCACATGCCGAAGATACCCGATAGCGCCTGTCGGTTAAAATACGGGAACGAGTTTGTGAACAGCAGCATGTTTTGCGCAGGAGTTTTGGACGGAACCAGGCATTGCACGTTATTTCAGTTAAAATTACAGCAATTATTAAATATAAATGTTTGGAATCAAATCTAATTCATTTTATAATTATATTAACAAAAATACTTCCCAGCTTTAATGGCCGTTATTGCAAGATAATTTTGCTGATCTGCTTTGCAGCATTTTCTGACAAGTTCTGCTGTGAGGTTTTCTGCAAAACTTCCAGATGTTTTTTGTGCTTAATGAATCTCAATTTCAACGGGACTAAAATCAGGTAAATTTTCATTGCGCAATGCTTGGGAATGACACTCACGGTGAACTCAGGGACACTTGTGTGGGGGACTCGGGGGGACCGCTGATTTGTAAACACAGAGGGGGGCAGTGGTACCTGGAAGGCGTGATCTCGTGGGGAAGCGAGTGTGGGCGGAAGGGGTGGCCTAGTGTCTATACACGAGTAACAAAATTCACTCAATGGATCGATGACGTCATAAGGAAAAATACTGATTGAAAAAGTGTATTTGAAGAAAGCAACTCGCAAACCCATGCGAAACTAATTGCTTTAATTTATTTAATAGTTAGTTCAGTTTGTATTGTAATTTGATGTCTCCTTTGAGTAAATTTTAATACAGACATGACGCAAAGCGTCTGAAAGTTAGGTTTTTGAGAGCATCAATACAGAAAGCAATCGAAAGTACCAAACTTCAAGGATAACATCTCAAGTATAACGTCTCACCGGATATAATCCCCCTGGGCTTAAGTCTCAGTGGAATTCATTGGTTAAAGTTTCTATCCTTGATTTTACTATATATCCTTGACATCAACAATCTATCGGTCTTTAAACTAACCAAGAACAAACTTGTTGTTCCGACTTTCATAACGAAAGTAACGGAATATTTGTGCTCGGGGTGGTTTTTTCTTCGGACAATTTAAGACTTTTTTAGTAGCCATAAACGACAAAAATTTTTAACTTCATTCAAAAGGTATTGTTGTCCTAAGTTTAAATATGAAAAGATACTTAGTGATCATTTGTTGTAAAGTTATGGGGGTTTAAAAATTGCCATTAGGTCAATTAGGGACAATTAACGCGCAATATATTTCGCGCTATTAACGCGTAAGCGCAGATTTACTCCGTCTTAGAAATCGTTCCAAATTGGTTGCAGGAAGCTTCTTTGCATGATTGATTTGTTACTAGGAGCGAAATTGATCTGTTTTTACTTTATATGGCGTGTGGGGGGATGATTTTTACAAAAAACAACTCAATTTTTTTGTTAAAAATTCTTTCATTTTGTGTTTATTTCAATAAATTTTTTCAAAAAATTACTGTTCTATAGACCTTAAAAGGCTTTCAGAACATTCAGGGCTTCGCCCTGATACTATAAACCTTGCTCTTTATGCAAATGACACAGTACTGAAAACGAGCAATTCAAAAAAAAATTTTCAGAGTTTTAGACAAGCAAATGCATGGCGCAAGGAAAATAAACTAAATTTGAATAGCAAAAACGCAAACACAGTCGTCTTTGGTAAAAAAAAACCAAATAAATAAGAGCGGTTAAAAAACAAAGACAATTAAAAGTAGTACATCAAGTACTAGAAAAATTGCGCAAAAACTTGGTTTTGAGTCTAAATTTTCATAACCACATCGCAAAAAAAAAAACTCCAATGCTTCAGTTCTGTGGTGTCAAATCAAATACGCAAATATTTAACCTAAAAACAAACTATTTTAGCGTCAAAGTGTACACACAACCAATTCTGCAACATGATTTTCTGGCGTACGCTAAGACTGACATCTCATCTATCACACCTCTTCAATTGGAGTTTAACGTTATCATCAAAATAGTATTCTACAAAAACAAAAAAGTCAGTTGGCGAAGATGTAAATATAAATAAATTTACCAAAAGAACTTTTTGAATGTAACATATTGAAAGTTAAGACCAAATTTCTCAGAAAAAAAGCCTGAAAGGGGCAAATTTAGGAAAAGCCTGAAAAGACAACGAGATATCACGTGCATAAAAAGTAAAATGTTACAAAAAATTATTTTTTTTTGGTCTACAATTGGATAAATTTTATCAGAAATGCAACGTTTCAACAAGTTCTCTATTTCAATCGTAAATTTTTGGAAAACTATTTGTCGGACAACATAGACCTTGAAAGTTTTTGAAAGATGTGCGTATCGGGGGTCATAAAATTTTAAATGAAATTGTAAGTGTTTGTGAATTTTCGATTTCTAGATTTCGATCTTTATCTACCATAAAAGCATAAAAAATAGCGAAGCTACGAGTGAAAAACGATCCGTTTTTTTAGGCACCCGAAAACAGGTTTTCGCAGCCTGATGTTGTCCTATTAGACTATGTACTTCTAAACGCGTGAAAATAACCCTTTTATTATAATGGTAACCCTAGACTTGGAACAATTTAGTATTAAATCATTAAAAGCCAGATTTGTGATTGTAAAACTTTATTCAAGGTCGTTTTTTTAATAGCTGGCTTAACTGTGCAACGCGGCTGATTAATTTGGGGCTTTTCTGTTCTACAGATAAAAAATTGATCGTTCTGTTATTTTGAAAGTATGACCAATCTGATTGGTTGAATTTATTTTGAGTAAGTAGAACTCTAGGTTCTCTAGAAAACAGAAGCTCAATTAACGGTTTGATAATTTTGGGACATTTCTTTAGTGGGTTTGAATTTTTTATGTCATTCTTTTTTTCAAACAGATTTAATATTATAATAGAAAGATCAAACAATCAAGCTCTCTGAAGCTTAAAACGCTTTACAAGGATTTAGTTTTTATGAAAACCAAAAATAATTTGAAAAGATGAAACATAATCAGTCCTTCTTTTCAATTTTTTTTAAAAAAAATAAATCATTCCGAATGGTTGCGAGCTTGGTTGTATCAATCAAGGAAATTAGAAATAGTGAGAGTGGGTATCAAAAACAAATTTGGCAAATCCTTCCATAAATGCCCTGAAAATAGGTTTTTAGATTCTTTCATTCAAAAATTTATCCGCTCTTAAAAATTTTTTCTTTCAAAATCTTCAGTTCAAATCTTTTCAACAATATCGAAAACCAACGTTTAAGGCAAGGCATCAAATTTATTTTTCATCAAATAAATTTTTAAATTCAAAAAATGGAGTGCACAGAAAAAACTATTCGTTCATCGTTGTTTTGTTGACTATCTTGTTTTTCGAAAATCGTTTTGAAAAGTTTTGTCTAATTTTTCGGTCCATCTTTCAAAGATGAGATCTCAGTGAGGTTTGCTTTGGTTTTTTTCTAGAGATTTTGCCAAAAACTTTTCATCAGTTGAAATCTATAGGTATTCTCAGCTCAAAATATATATATATATATATACATATATATATATATATATATATATATATATATATATATATATATATTTTACCAGTGACGTTTTCCAACAAGATTTGGGGCTAGCACGAGATTTTTATACATCGAATTCTCAGTTAATATTTCAAGGGACTTATTGAAAGGGAATGTGATGTATGTACAGAAACAGTAATTAAGTTACAGTTAATTTGAGCTACGTTAAGTTTTTTTTTCTGTCGCCCTTAGAACAACGCAATTTACCTCTGGCGAAAAATGGTACCATCGCGTCCACCGTCACGTCTCTGTGCAGTTGACTTTGCCACTGAATTATTCGTTAGTCTTTTTTAATTCGAAGCTTTCTGTACTATTTTTAGGCTTCAAGTCACTAAGCAGTTTTCAACCTCTTTTGATTAAATTGGCAGCAGTATTGAAATACATATTGTAAAGGTGTTTTCGACAATTTCTAGAATTTCAAGATGCACTAGGTTACCCAACTACAAATTTTATGATGCCATGATAACACGCCATAGATTGATCCCACATTTCGAGGGGGTCGGAACCAATTTTGTTGAAAACTTTGAACAAAAAAAAATGATTTTTTTTGTGCTTTAATGTACCAGGTCTAACAATTTTTAAATGAAACTGCCTTTTCGTTTCAATGAAAGTTTTTTCAATTAAGCGCAGTTTTTCCTGTTACCAACAAGAATTGTTGGCGAGTTCTGTTACGTTCATTTGAAACAACAATAGCAGAAAAAAGTTCGTAGAGTTTTTCTTGTTTCGTAGGGTTTTTAATGAATCAGATGAATCTTTAGCTGCAGAAAGAGGCAGGATAGGAATATCGTGAAGGAGAAAAATTGTCCCATTGAAAAACTTTCCCATAATCTTAGCCTTCAAAAACCTTGCTCTTTATGCAATTTACACAGTACTGAAAACGAGCAATTAAAAAAAAATTTTCAGAGTTTTAGACAAGCAAAGGCATGGCGCAAGGAAAATAAACTAACATTGAATAGCAAAAACGCAAACACAGTCGTCTTTGGTAAAAAAAACCGAACAAATAAGAGCGGTTGAAAAACAAAAACAGTTAAAAGTAGTACATCAAGTATTAGAAAAATTGCGCAAAAACTTGGTTTTGAGTCTAAATTTTCATAACCACATCGCAAAAAAAAACTCCAATGCTTCAGTTCTGTGGTGTCAAATCAAATACGCAAATATTTAAACTACAAACAAATTTTTTTAGCGTCAAAGTGTACACACAACCAATTCTGCAACATGATTTTCTGGCGTACGCTAAGACTGACATCTCATCTATCACACCTCTTCAATTGGAGTTGAACGTTATCATCAAAATAGTATTCTACAAAAACAAAAACAAGTCAGTTGGCGAAGATGTAAATATAGATAAATTTACCAAAAGAAATTTTTGAATGTAACATATTGAAAGTTAAGACCAAATTTCTCAGAAAAAAAGCCTGAAAGGGGCAAATTTAGGAAAAGCCTGAAAAGACAACGAGATATCACGTGCATAAAAAGTAAAATGTCACAAAAATTTATTTTTTGGTCTACAATTGGATAAATTTTATCAGAAATGCAACGTTTGAACAAGTTCTCTATTTCAATCGAAAATTTTCGGAAAATTATTTGTTGAAAACAATTTAAAAAAAAAAAATTATTCCGAATGGTTGCGAGCTTGGTTGTATCACTCAAGGAAATTAGAAATAGTGAGAGTGGGTAGCAAAAACCAATTTGGCAAATCCTTCCATAAATGCCCTGAAAAGAGGTTTTTAGATTCTTCCATTCAAAATTTATCCGCTCTTAAAAATATTTTCTTTCAAAATCTTCAGTTCAAATCTTTTCAACAATATCGAAAACCAACATTTAAGGCAAGGCATCAAATTTATTTTTCATCAAATAAATTTTTAAATTCAAAAAATGGAGTGCACAGAAAAAACTATTCGTTCATCGTTGTTTTGTTGACTATCTTGTATTCCGAAAATCGTTTCGGAAAACAATTTTTAAATGAAACTGCCTTTTCGTTTCATTGAAACTTTTTTCAAACAAGCGCAGTTTTTCTTGTAACCAACAAGAATCGTTGACGAGTTCTGTTACGTTCATTTGAAAAAACAATAGCAGAAAAAAATTCGTAGAGTTTTTCTTGTTTCGTAGGGTTTTTAATGAATCAGATGACTC